GATTTTAAAGTGAATTTTGTTTTGGTGAATCTTTTAATTTAATTTAATTTGTTTATTAAATAATAATGTTTTATTTTATTATGGAAATAAATGTCAATTAATATTTTAAAACAAAACATATTTTTTTTTTAAATATATATAATAAAACTGAATCAACTCTAATTTTCTCAGTTAATGATAAATATTTATTATATGACTAAGTGTATTGCAACCTATACTTATTGGGTAGCTAGTCTTTTAAGGTTTAATGTCTTTGTTCTAACGAACATCGCGCCGGCAGACAGGGTAAAGGTTGCAATTAAAGATTTTTAAAGTTAGGTGTATTAGGTTAGAATATATTTGTAAGCCTATGTGTATTGGGTAGCTAGTCTTTTAAGGTTTAATGTCTTTGTTTTAACGAACATCGCGCCGACAGACAGCACAGAGAAACTTACGAATATATGTTTTAATGTTTAATTTTTGTCTTGGTGGTTATTGTGCCGCATCCTTTCAAGGTGCTTTATTTTAGCACCGGGACACATTGGGCCACCACAATTCCACCTTGACAAATCTTTTACATAGATATAAATATTTCTGAATCTTGTTTTGGCCAGACCAGAGGAAAATTTAAGAAATATTGGTGTCGACCTCTCAATAAAATATAATCTCTCAAACAACATACTCATTCTACAAAGTTAACTAAAGATACATTATTTGATTATAATTATAAAAATATAGAGTGTATAGAATCTCTTGCATATAATAATACAGTCATAGATTTTGTCTATTTGATAGTATTCTATTTGAAAGATCTTATTTAATAAATTATAGTAATTGATTTTTTAATTCTATTATAGCTAGATATTAAAAAGATTAACTCACTTTTTATGTTTGATTGTTTTGGTTTATTTAAATACTCGATCCCCAATCCAATCAATTCACTATTTACACCTAATAAAATAATGTTACTTTAAATAACTGTTACGTGTAAATATATCACTCGACCCCTTATAACAACTTTAAAAACATAGTGAGTTCATTTTTTTTTTGCATTATCCATTCAAGTTGATTATAATACTTACAACTTGGATAAACAGTAATATTTTCGGTTTCCTTCGAATCGATATTTTCAGCAACATCAAACACACTTAAATAAAAATTATAATTATAGAAATAAAGTTAAATTTATTTTTACATTTAAACTTATAGAGATCATCAACACTATCCCGTGAAGTAGAGAAATCGTTAGCATTTAATTCATTTTCTTTCTTTTTATCGATCTCAAATTATACTACTGTACAAATAGTAATAGTACCAATTATAATATAATGACATAAACATAATTGTGTACAATTAATTTTTTTACTTACAGTTATTATTGCTATTTTGTGAGGTACTCACTCCGTAGTTAACTATGTTATTTTCGTTATCTAAATTAAACAATTACAGAAATATATAAATAAATGTAAAATAAATATTATTTATTTATGAACGCTTACAATTTCTAAGAATGTTTGCCGACGTACTTGCGCAATGATTCAGGATATTTCTCTCAGTATCTTAAATAAAAATAAAAATAAAAATGTAAAAGTAGTTATAATACAATTATATAAAATTTTTACTCAATTTTTTGAAATTGGTGGATAATTAGAAAAGCAACATCAACTCCTATTTCATTAATTATATCCTGATTATGTTCTTTGATTTAAAAATATAATATTTGAATAAATTGTTATATAATAATGTTTATACATAATTATAATTATTTAACATTATTATATAATAATGTTTGTAAAGGTTGTATGAATGTATGGGTATTTTGACTAACGTTGGATATTTGGGGTTTGGTTGAATTGTGTGTAACGAGGTTCTATCGGAAAATATTATTCCAGATAGTAATCACGATATGAAATCTGGCACAATGCACAACGAGGATTCAGGAACTAAAACAACGACGACGTTAGAAAATGTGTCTAATGAAATGGTAAATATTGTTGACAATAACATTAACAAGACTGTGGAGGGATGTGAAATGTTCGAAAAAGAGGTTCACGAACTTGGTGTGACGGAGCCTAACATGACAGATATTGAAGGAGCAGCCATTGTGGAAAAGAGTAAGCAAGAAGAGGGTACCATAAGTTTTTTAGAAATTGTTTGTATTTAAAATTGTAATACATTGAATACTGAATTTTGTATACATTTTTATAAAAGCTTAAACATTTTAAGATAAATATTTTTGCAATTTAATGTGTTATTAATTAGAAGACATGGAGTGTTACTTACGTCCAGTTAAAACACGTAGATTTAAAAAAGGTACAATATGCTTCTTCGGAAAAAAGAATAATTCTGGCACGATAACTACAGATAATGGGCAATGTTATAAGTTCTATAGAGTAAGCATATTATTTTATCGTCTTCACTATAATATGACAGAACTGGGTAATCAACATTTTGAGATTTTATTTTATTATATATTTATAATATTTTATTTATTCTTAAAAACTGCTTTTAACTTTGAAATATTTTATGGTTTTTATTATGATTTTGATTATTAATAATTAATAATAAAAAAATAATTATTTATTATTTTAATAAATCTTGAATATTTTTCTGGCGATATTAAAGAATAAAATAAAATTCTATTTAAAATTATATAAAATAGTGTATTTTTGTTTCCCTGGGAATAATTAAAAACATCGAGATATGCATGTAGGCACAAAAGTGAACATATATTGATTAAACAGATCCTAAAGTTTAAAATTATATTTTTTTCAGGAAGATTTAAATTTAGGTTTCGATCGACCTTTTAAATATCCACAAAAAGTGAAATTTGTTGTTGATGATTCACAGCCCAAATGGGCCTATGATGTAGAAATAATTGGAGACCCTTATGTTCGAAGGTAATATAGAATGGTTTAATATCAAAAATAATCAAATTAATACTGTTTTTTATCTACAGGTGCTGTTATTGTTTAAAAGATGATCATGTTGGTTTAGAAGACTGTATGAAGTTACAGATAGACTCTTATAATTTTTACTATCCTTATTTATAACATAACAGTACAAAACCAGCAGTTTGTATTATTTATTCTGTTAATGTTTCAATTGAATTTATAAGTGCTTTAAATTATTAATAAAAGTTATGTGTTATAAAGTTAATACTTAAAAAATAATGTATTTTAATAATATTCTATGTTATTATTTCTAATTCGTGATAAATATATTGTCATTAATTAAAGATTCTTAGAAACGCTTCGATGTAAATCTATAGATAGTGTTTAAATCTAAGAAATTGGTGGATAATTACAAAAGCAACATCAACTCCTATTTCTTTAATTATATCCTGATTAGGTTCTTTGATTTAAAAATATAATATTTGAATAAATACTTGTTTATTGAAGTTATTGAATCTAAATGATAGGAAAATCCTATGAGTTGAAAATATTATTCTGACTCAAGAAGAATTATGAAAAAAAAACCAAAGTCACGGGCGGGTTTGAACATCGTACCCCAAACGCGTAAGACACAAGTTTTGCCGAGTCGGCAACCGTACGTTGCAAGACGCAAAAAATAGTAATTTCAAAGTTATTGTTCTCGACTTAAAAGAAGCAAAAAAATTTAAATATGTTTAACTTTTTATTCTATGTCAATTATATTTATATAATATTTATGAAAATCTGTGTACTCCCCTTAGAAAGGTATTTTAAAATAAAATAAAACACAAAACCCTGAATTTTAACACAAAAATAACATGTTTTTGACACACGGCAGTTATTTTCACCATAAAGGCAATTCGATGTGTCAATATTTTTTTTCGTCAAATTAAAGTATATTGCATAACCTTTAATTTAAGGTGTATTCCATTAATCGATAGTGCAAATGATTCTCTAATTTAATGTTTATGAAAACTTTAAATACCTATTGTGCACTACTAAATTTATGTGAACATTTTATAATTTTTAATTTTGGCGAAGTCAACATAATCATCAAGTTATTAATAATAATGACCAGTATTACAATATAATATCAAGACTTTGGCACTGGTTCAATGACCAAATTATTCTGTATATATTTTAGTGGACTGCATATAGGGTAAATTTTGTTATAATTTAAATTAACAAAAATAAATTATATACGGTGAAAATGTTTGTAAAGGTTGTATGAATGTATGGGTATTTTGACTAACGTTGGATATTTGGGGTTCGGTTGAATTGTGAGTAACGAGGTTCTATCGGGGTTGTGGAGTCCCAAGGGTATAGAACAACGAAGACAAGTAGATATAAAAAAATATCACTTTATGCAATTTTCAATAATAAATATATTAGGAACATAGTTTTTTAAAAATTCTATGTTTGACCATCTGTTAATATAATATTTAAGTGGCTTCAAATCATAAAAATGCTAAATCGAGTTACCATGGATACACTAATGTTTATTTTTAAATACATATTAGTTTGTTGTTGCATTTAGTCCAGAAGAGCTAGTCTTTTGTGCCTATATACTATTAAAAACAGTCACAATAAATTGTGAAAAAAGTATTTTGATACATTGATTTTTTGCAAACAATCAAATTACAATGACGGTAAAAAAATTCTTTCGTCGGTTGGCAAGGGCCTTTACGTGTTGTCTTTCCAAAAATCAGCGTAATATAAATGGTATAGTATCTTAGCTTAGTCTAGTCCAGGTATTTTTTTAATGAAATTTAGCTTAACACGATAGACAACAAAAATTCTCTCGATATCTAATGTTTTCAAACGTACGTAGAATTAATACACCTATTTATTTGCACATGTAAATGTAGTGTAGATTTATATATTCGGTATTAAAAAATTCATTTATGATTTTTTTTAAATTAACTATAATTAGATTAATTATTTTTGCAATTTTATGTGTTATTAATTAGAAAGCACGGACTGTTACTTAAGTCCAGTTAGTAGACATGATATTCGGGATTCAGGAACTCAAACAATGACGACGTTAGAAAATGTGTCTAATGAAAGGGTAAATATTGTTGACAATAACATTAACAAGACTGTGGAGGGATGTGAAATGTTCGAAAAAGAGGTTCACGAACTTGGTGTGACGGAGCCTAACATGACAGATATTGAAGGAGCAGCCATTGTGGAAAAGAGTAAGCAAGAAGAGGGTACCATAAGTATTTTAGAAATTGTTTGAATTTAAAATTGAAATACATTTAATACTGAAATTTGTATACATTTTTATAAAAGCTTAAACATTTTAAAATAAATATTTTTGCAATTTAATGTGTTATTAATTAGAAGACATGGAGTGTTACTTAAGTCCAGATAGTAATCACGATATGAAATCTGGCACAATGCACAACGAGGATTCAGGAACTAAAACAACGACGACGTTAGAAAATGTGTCTAATGAAATGGTAAATATTATATTACTACATTTCACTGGAATCATAAAGAGCGTTGGTGTTTAGCATGGAGAGATCACATAAATAGAGGCCACCACACTAATAACTTTAGTGAAGTTTCAGTGAGAATTTTTAAAGAAAATGTATTAAGTAGAGTTAAAGCATACAATGTTATTTCAATTATTGATTTTTGTTGTACCAATTTGAAACATTATTATAGAAAAAAATTTCTCGAGTTTTCAAATGATAGAAATGCAACTACTCGTAAATTTTTTAAAAAAATTACAAGATTAACTGATTCTGTGACCCAAAAAGATATTGAAGTGGATAATGAAGTTAATACAGATAATACAGTTGATGTATTGTGTTATACAATCTATAGGTATTTGTTCGTGTACAGCTGGAATGTATGGTAAGTTTTTAAACATCAAGGTATTGTANATATGGTAAGTTTTGTAAACATCAAGGTATTGTATACAAGTTTTTTTAATAAAATTGGAGTTAATTTACCTCCTGTTACAATAGAGGATAAACATTCAATTGCACAATTAGCACTAGGTAATAAAGCACCAAATAATCATTTTATGAAGGTCTTTTACCATCAGAGGTTATTCATAAAAATGCATTGACAGTTGAAGAAGTTAAATTAAAACCAGTAAATGTAATAGAAAATACAGAAAACAATATTAATGAAAATAGCATCTTTGGCAATATGGTTGAAGAAAAAAGTACTATTTCAGAAAAGACTTGTTTGCCAANAGTTGGAGAAAAAAGTACTATTTCAGAAAAGACTTGTTTGCCAATAATAGAAGAAATCAATCAAATTTTGTTGAATAATAATACTAAGTATGGAGGATCAATCAAAATTTACTGAAATTTAAAAATAGATTAAAAAAAATAAAATCAGAAGGGCAGTTTAACACATTTTTAGCCAATGCTGGAGGAACCTCTTTACCTTTAAGACTAAGAGATAGTGCAACAATAAGAGTTAAGCCAACCACTATTTCTAGGNTTGCAACAATAAGAGTTCAGCCAACCACTATTTCTAGGAGGAAACCAGGCATAACAAAAGGAAGCAAACGTCTGTTGTCAGGTGAGTATAATTTATAAATACCATTTGTCAATTAAACAAACATGTTACTTTTATTTTTAGGTAGACCAGCAATTTCAGAAAACAATCGCCCTAAGAAGAAACCAAGAAATATACTTCAAAACATAACTAACTGTACGCCTAATGCAAAATCGCACTAATTTATTTCTGTTATTACATTTTTTAAATAATATATTTATAAATAATTTATAAAATTAGTGTATTCTAGATATTAATAATAATAGTTTACTGATATCAACTGTTATCATAAATAATGAGTAGCCAATCAGAGAGGCGAATTTTTGCTGGGTTAGATTTCGTTTGCAGAATGTTATTATGCCGCCGGACATCGTGTCGTCCATAGTACACCGTTATTTTTTCATTTATTTATTACAGCCTTGTGATCTAAGTTTTCGTGCCCTTGCATGACATTAATAATTGGCCCCTGACCAAAACTAAACATCTTCATTGCCGTTGTCGCTTTTACGCCGTCTGTTTTCATCTACTATTACGTGCCTAGATCTAAACCCTGACTCCTCATACTCAGATGTT